GGACACTTCCAGGGATCCAGGGGCAGCCACAGCTTCTCTGGGCAACCTGGGCCAGGGCCTCCCCACCCTCACAGACAATTCCTTCCCAATATCCCATCTAATCCTGCCTCTGGCACTGGGAAGCCATTCCCTGTGTGCTGTCCCTCCATGCCTTGTCCCCAGTCCCTCTCCAGCTCTCCTGGAGCCCCTTCAGGCCCTGCCAGGGGCTCTCAGCTCTCCCTGGAGCCTTCTCTTCTCCAGGGGAACCCCCCCCAGCTCTCCCAACCTGGCTCCAGAGCTGAGATGTTTTGCTTGTTTTCACCCCAGATCTTGTGTTTCAATTCTTCCTGTCACACTCTTTGCACTCCTTTCAGCAAATGCAGTGTTTAGTTTTTTTGCTTGATGTATTTTCTTCAGGTAAATAACAAATTCCAAGATAATTTCTTTTGTAGCAAAGATTTGTTGGGAAACTATGCAGTCAAACTGCTTATCCTAAAAATGGGGATGTCTTTTTGTGTTTCCTTCCTGCAGCAAAACAGAGACCTGGACATGTTCATCAATGCATCCAAAAACTTCAACCTCAACATCACTTGGTCCACAAGTTTTGCAGGTAAAATGAGCCTGATTTGAGTTCCTTGGCAGCTTGTTTCAGTTATCAGTTTCTGACAAACACAAATTTAATTAGGAAAACATTTTTTTTTTTAACCTCTGTACTTGATATATAATGTCCTTAAATTCTGGGCCTGAAGGAGGAGGTTTAATTTTTTAAAAAAACCCTATGTTTTCCATGTTAGTAGTTCATTTTGGAAACCTAAGAAGGTGCAATTTTGATTTATAATAATGCAGCATTTTGGCACACAGTGATTTTGATATTGCAGTGCAGCTAAAAAAGAGTAATTTCTGAAGGAATAGTTAATTTTTTACCATTAGAATTCAGGCCGATTTGCCCTTTTGTTCTTTATTTTAAACACACATCAACACTTTTTTTCTTGCTCCTTCCTAAACCAGCTGGCACACAGGCAGGGGAGGAAATTCCAGTTGTTTCCAGAACCAATATAAAGGAGTACAAGGACAGTTTCTCCAACGAGAAGTTCGATTTCCGCAACAACCCCAACATCACCTTCTTTGTTTACGTCAGCAACTTCACCTGGCCCATAAAAATCCAGGTAAGAGCTGCTCATTTATGTGGAATTCTTTAAAAGTGCCTTTTTTTTTCTTTTTTTTGGTGACACTTTGCTGTGCTTTGAGTTGTCCAAGCTGCCCCAGCCTCGGTGGAATCCCACAGCAGGCAGAGCTGGATGTTCTGGATAAGAGGGAGAAGGTGTGAGGAGTCTTCTGGTGCTGCCTCAGCCCAGTGGGGTCTGAAAATGTGCTGGGAAATAAAGTGAGATGCTCAGTTATTAAGGGCTTTAACAAGGTGTCTGACTCTGAATGTGGAGTTACTGATGTTGAATAGAAAGAGGGATGAAGTTAAAACCCAAACCTGGAATGTGGAGGCAGAGGAAAAGCAAATATCAGCTGCCTGTGTGCTCAGAGTGATGTGGGGCTTCTCTGAAGGACAAAAATCCTTCCAGGGCTGGGACAGAGATCATGGAATGGTTTGGGTTGGAAGGGACCTTAAAGCTCATCCAGTGCCACCCCCTGCCATGGGCAGGGACACCTCCCACCAGCCCAGGTTACTCCAAGCCCCTTCCAACTTGGAACACCTCCAGGGATGGGGAATCCACAGATCTCAAATAAGGCCTGGCATTTCTGACTTCTTATTTAAGTTTGGTCAAACATGGGAACCCAAATTCTTCCATCTTCACCCTTGCCCAGCCCAGTATGATGTGAAAGCTGAGAGTTCACCTTGAAGTTCTTGCTGTTCCTGACATTCAGTCCCACAGACTCCCACTCCCTGATAATACTGAACAATGGCATGAGATCCACCTGGAAAAAAAACCTCCTTGAGCTATAATGACATTTTTCAACTTATTCCCTTAATTTTTAAAAATACATTAGGAATACCTGTGAAACTTCTGCATCACCTTCTGGTAAAGACAGAGGGTTTGAAGTGTTCAGGAAACTTTTTGTTGCTGATGGCAGGCCGTGGATTGGAGAGGCTCACTTTGGACTGCTTTTGGCTTCTTTTTAATGCCTTTTACAGTTTTGATAATAGTTTGCCAACTGGAGAGTTTTGACTTTACAAATTGTTGAACTCTTAGTTTGTTTAGTTTATTTAGTCCTGATTTTTAGATGTGGAGGAGTTGGCAAGAGCTGCAGGGTCAAGCCTTGGTGTCATTGGATACTCAAGCAGCGAGTACTAAACCTCATTTTCATTGAAATACTCTTGTAGTAGTGGAAGTAACATCTGTGTAGAAAGGTTGACACTTGTGTAGTGGTTTATTTAAATATTTGAGCTTCTCTTTTATCAAATTCACAGTCACAGACATCCAAAAAAAAATCATATTTTATTTAACTTACAGGTTATTTTGACTGATAGTTGATTTTCCATAATCAGTGCTGGACTGAGTCTTATCCTGATTTATTACTTTATCCTGATTTATTACTTTATCCTGATTTATTACTTTATTATTTTAGTAATAAATAAAGTTCTTGCTGCAGAACTGTGGTAATACTTTGTAGATGTTTCAGAGCAGTGCTGTGTCCTCTCCCTGAAGCTCTCCTGACTTTACTCCAGTCTCCATCCACCTGCACTGACAGGGAATTTCTGGCTTTTCCTGTGCCAGTGTTGTTGAGCTTAAATGTCCCCTCCACCTCCTCCTTTGGCAGCTCAAACTCCTGCTTTCCCTGGATGAATTTGGACAGGTCATATCCTCTGGAAACCTTCCCTGTTTGTTTTTTGGCCTAAGCAGGACAAACCCTAATGGTCTTTTCCTGTGGAACAGGTTATTCAGGTTCAGTTGCTTCCTTTGTTTTCCCTCTGTGCTTCCAGGTGTTTGTCTCTCTTGTACAGTTTTGTTCATGGGGATCAGGATCTGACCAAGGCCATCCTGGCCTTGGACACTTCCAGGGATCCAGGGGCAGCCACAGCTTCTCTTGGCAACCTGGGCCAGGGCCTCCCCACCCTCACAGCCAACAATTCCTTCCCAATATCCCATCTATCCCTGCCCTCTGGCACTGGGAAGCCATTCCCTGTGTCCTGTCCCTCCATGCCTTGTCCCCAGTCCCTCTCCAGCTCTCCTGGAGCCCCTTCAGGCCCTGCCAGGGGCTCTCAGCTCTCCCTGGAGCCTTCTCTTCTCCAGGGGAACCCCCCCAGCTCTCCCAGCCTGGCTCCAGAGCAGAGGGGCTCCAGCCCTGGCAGCATCTCTGGGGCCTCCTCTGGACTCTCTGAGGACATGAATGTACCAGTCAGTGTCCAAATGCCATCTTAAACTAACTTCTGTCCTCTTTAAACCACTCTAATTCTTGAAATGATCTTCACCACCTTCCTGTCATGCAGGAATTCCCAGTGTATTGATATCCATAATGAAGAATTCCCAGTGTATTGATATCCATAATGAGGTTGGGATTGGCTCAGCTGTACTTCTTAGGTCTTTACAATAAATAATTCTTCCAGACAGGAAACAGTGGACTGGAATAGCACAGGTGACTGTTGGCACCTCCAGTGCTTTGTTTGCACCTCATTCCAATTTTTCATTTGCTCATTAAGTTCTTTTATTCAACGTTCTCCTTGAGGAACTTCGTGTACCCTTGAGGTCTTGGGAGGATGAATGTTTAGATTCTCCCTCCTCCTCAAAATACAAATTTTAAATGTTCCACAGATCCATGCTCAGCTGCTGGACTGCTTTGACAGCCTCATTCCAGAGGGGATATTATTCCATGTGCCATGTCTTTTGGAGATGGGATGGGTGCTGTCTGCTTTCCCTGGATTAGAACCCCTCAAAACATTGGAGTTCTGTCTCCACTGTGGTTGTATCTCTTACAACCTCAACCCTGTGACACACTTTGCCTTCCACCCATGTTCATGTCCTTATTCCCCTCTTAATTCAGTGTTAAGCTTGGTTTTATCAAGCTCTCCTTACAGGATCTCTTCCCTTTTCCTCCTGGTCTCCTTTGCTTGGATACCTGAAACATCTCCTGCTCTTCTGTTTTCATTTGCTGAGCTCTGGCACAGCTTGACTTCTGGCACTTCTTATTTTGTCTCCCTGCCCCTTGCTGGCTTTAAAGCCATTGCTAATCAATCCTTTCCTGTCCATAACACACATTCTCTTTAATTGATCCTAATGTCCTTTTTGAGGTTAGTTCTGAGGACGCAGCTTTCAAATAGCTTTACATCTCTGACCTGAGAGAAAGACTTGGATGGCAGCTTTGCCATCCCTCATCTCCTCAGCCCACTTGATTTTACTGTTTGATTTAATTTCTCATGGTTAAAGAGTGAACTTGGATTCTCTTACAACACTTAACCTCTTTTTATCCCTAATTTAATAGGAATGTGCCTGTGTGCACTCAATCCAAGGTAATGTTTTATCACCAGCTCTTCTTAATGCCCTTGTTACTTGCCAAAACAAAGCCTAAAATAGCAACAGCTCTTACTCATGGAGACTTCTTCACCCTTTTTTGTGGAGCCTGGCAGTGATATCACATCCAGGAATGTGTGGTCCTTAGGATTTCTCTTCAGTTCTCAGCCAAAAACCAAGATTCACCGTGTCCTTCCAGGTCTTGTGCAATGTTCTGTGGTGGATTGAACTTCCCTGAGTTCCAATCTCTGTTCCTACCTGTCCTTTCTCTGCCTCTTCCTTACGTGCTTTCCCTATTTTTTTAATTTTTGAGAAGTCTTGACTCTCTGGAGTTTCTCTTCAGTGTGATAAAGCAGGAGTTAAATCATGGGATGGACTTCTGGGACAAAGATTTTTTTGAGGAAATGCCCAGAGAAGCTGTGGCTGCTCCATCCCTTGAATTGCCCAAGCAACCTGGGCTAGTGGAATATGTCCCTTCCCATGGCAGGGGCTTGGAATTAGGTCACCTTTAAGGTCCCTTCCAACCCAAACCATTCTGTGATTCCATGATTTTAAGACTTCCCAGCGCTCAGTCCTTGACTCCTCCCATGCTCTGTTCCTCTCAGGAATACTTTTGACTCAGATCTTTCCCATCTTCCATCTCTCATTTCTTTTTCCAAGCTGTTCATCCCTTATTTCCCTGCAGAAAAGTCCCTGTGCTTTGGGGTTCAGCCCTTCAGGGCAAAGTGGCTCCTTAATTAAAGCAGGATACAAACTGTTCCCTGATCTCCCAGCCTGACTCCTTCAGTTTTCCTCATTGCAGCTCCACTGTTAAACTTTCTCTCAGCTACAGAACGTGTTTCAACTTCCCTTTGGAAAGCAGAGTGGTTTTAATGGCAGGAATGTGATGAAATCTGGGAAATTCTGCTCCTGCCAGGCTGCTGGGAATGATTCTGTCTCAGCTCACACGTGTGTTTGGGTTGTTCCTGGGCAGGGCAAAAATGTCCAAATCATATTTTTGTTTTTTTTCTTTGTTTGCATATACTAGTAAACAGTCATTTTACACCCCCTCATTTCTCCTGGCTTATCTTCAATTTCAATACAACAAGTGTATTTAAACGTGAGATTTGTTTGTCTATACAAAGCCTTGCAGCATAAAACTTCAGCAGTGTAGTTTTTACTGCAAAACAACCCTACAATCCACTTTTTTTTTTTTTCTTTAAAGAGCAGAAACCTTATCCTGAAGTCCTTGATTAAAATCTTGCCTCCCTTTCCCTCTCTTTGCCTGTTAAAATCTGCACTTGGAAAGTATAAATGCTCTTTTGTGTCAGAGACATGTCCCTGCCAATGCTCAATTCTGGCTGTTTTCCCCCCCCTTTCTTGCTCCACCTCTTTTCCAAACCACTTCAGTTCATTCCTTTTTTCAATTATATGGGTTTAGGATGTCTCTCCCTGCCTGTTTAATGACTTGAAATGATTATTTAGTGGAAGAATTAAAGCAGCAAAATGCAGAAAGCCTTCAAAACGCAGCAATGCTCTTCCTGAGGAAGGAATTCCCTGGAAAGCCTTACCTTGCCAAGCTTTTCCTGAAAATCCAGGTAAGGTCTTGTCACAGCCAGCTGGATATTTCCTTTCTTTGCTTTGTGGCTCCTCTGCTCCAGACTTTGGCCACACTGAATTCCTGAGCATTCAGCAAACATTCCTTATCTTCCCTCAAACTGGGAATG